GAAATATACAGTGGAACGCATAAAACAGCACTTGTGCAAGTCATTGTAGAGATCCCAATAAATGCAAACAAGTAAATTACGCAATGTAATGTGGCTGCTAGTTTTTGGCCTTTTGTTGTCTCTTCAGTCTGTTCTATTTGCATTGTATTTACATATGACTGGCATGCTTAGGACATTTCCATCCTCATCATTTCACTATATTTGCAACACCATGCACCAAAAGCTCCATTTCCTTCGTTTTTCAAAGCCTGTATGAGAAGGAGTCTTCTTCCTAGGTCATCGCATAGCCCTGCACCCTAGGGTAACCTTCTGTAGGCTGACATGGTGTCTGTGCTCTGCTTTTTCCTCATTGTGACCATCCCCTTGGAGATTGGACAGAGCTTCAGCAAAGCAAGCAATTTTTTGAAATGGTATTGGGACCTATTTTACTGTAAGAGTAAGAAGAGTTTTGACTGGATGTCAAAAGTTGTATTATAAACAAGCTTTATCAGAGCTGTACTATGATCAGAGACAGAGCACTCGGATTTCTTGAATTAAGAAATATCCAGCAGCAGTGAATTTCACCTGTATTGTTACTCTGCTTTTCGTCATCCATTCATCTGCCCTCTACACAATTCACTAAATAAAAAGGATTAGACCTACGCAGTTCAGCCTCTTGCTGCAATCCCTTCATTCATAAAACCAGAATTTTGCTAGAATTATTTAGGATGGTACAAAATAAGTAGGCTTGCTAGCTGATGGAATAAAGGATGAAGATATTAAAGCTTATTATCATGTCTTACTTTCATTTTCCCTTCTTCTGTTTTTCAGTGCTAATTTTCACTTTTTTTAGCTAGCTTTCAATGTTCTCTTTTGATATACGGAGTAGGTGGATCATTGCGGCAGATTGTTGTGTGTCTTCTCTGTTTAATGCCTGAATCCTTGTTGCTTATGCTTATAATCGCTAACCACGCTTAGGAGGGTAAGATACATGATCACTTCATCTTCACCTGACATGAGGTAAAGTGTAACTGGGGAGAGAAACCCCCAGTTGAAGACAGTAGTACATAATTCTCCTTTCAAAAAGGAGAGGGAAGGTTTTATTTATTTTGAAGGCCTGGTTTAAGGTGAAATTTTCTAACTTTGAAAGTTAGCATATGTTTGCTAACAGAGTAGTCTCGGGCAGTTCAAGTGATTCAAGGGCTTCTTCCTCATTTCTGTGGCTGCAGCATCAATGCTGCCTGAAGAAGCGCTGTGAATTAGCTCCTGAGCTACCGACTCCTCTTAGTCCAACATGGTAAACTGAAATGGGTATTCATTCAGGTTAGGATTCACATGCTGTTCAGCCATTTCTGCTGCTGGTCTGGGAGTTCTGCTATGGGTAGTAGTTGTAAGCTTAATTTTCACACTGAATCATATTTAAGCTGTCAAGAATTTTTGCTGTTCCTAAGAAGTTTGTATATTGTCTTAACAGCCTTAAAGAGTTGCTGAGAGCCAAATTAATTGAATGCGGCTGGAAGGATCAGTTGAAGGCACACTGCAAAGGTAACGGTGGTCAAATAACTAATACCCTTTGTAATCAACTGAGGTTCTGGCCAAATAGAAGTCCCAGATGAAAGCTTTACTGCCTAACACTCAATTTAAATGAGACTTGGGCAAGAGGAAAGTATCCCTGGCAGTTGGTTTTGCATGCAAGAAAGCATCTTGCCATCTTGGCCAAAAAAATAAAAAAAAAAATCATCTTGAAATTTCCTCTCTGATGTGAAAGTTTTTAAGCTTCTGAGAAAAGTACTGGAATTGGTTCCCTAAATATTCATGATGATACAGCTTTTTGTTTTGAGAGGTCACTTCCTTACCACAGGACAATAAAAACCAAGGTAAAGGAAAATAGAGCAAATACAGCGGTACGCAACTTAGAAACTTTAGAGAACTTTGTTGTGTGCATATGGGAGAGAAAGAGGTGCATTTGTACCCTTTCTGAATACAATTCTTAAAAATAGGATCATCAACTCCAAATGAGAGAAAACAAGCAGATGAGTCTCTAAATACCCAAATCTGTAGTTTTGAGTTAAGTATTTAGTATTACTACAATTTACTGACTTGTAAATTGTATGAAACTGTTATAAATAGTATTTTAGTCTCCAGGAATATTACTGCATGATGAAGTTTCCTTAAAGCAAACAATAAATCCCTTGAGCTTTTGCTTTAATTCTGATTTGGTGTTCTGTGCCCAGCAACTCAACATTCCATTACAGAGTTGTTCTTTTTGTAGGGCTGAGTGTGTTAAATTCTTTTCATAGGTGGATTTGCAGAGAAGGCTGAAATGATTCATGATTGCAGTTGTCTGCCTGATGCCACTGCAGAGATTACCCGTTTCCGTAGTACAGATAGCAAAAGGGATGTTTATCTGCCTTCTCAAGTATACACTTTATAAACTGCTATAGTACAGTTATGCAAAAATGTTAGGTTTACGTTAGTATTTTGAACTGTAACTGCAGCTGCTGAGAATGCAAAAATAAGTCCAGTTGTCCCTGCTAAGGGCCTAATAACCTCCGACAGAAAGGACAGAGAAGGATTTGGGGGTGGTTCTTGTTGTTTTATTAGGTTGTGTGGGTTTTTTTGGTAGCTTGTTCTAGAGCCTCTTGCCATTGTGGATTAGGGCCAATAGGTGAGCAATCCAGGATTAATTTCTACAGGGAATTCAGCCAAGAAAAACAGTTTACAAATAGTCCATGTGATGTCAGTTCAGAAAACATATTTAGTGTCTTGGGGACAATCAGCCCTATATACTGATATATAGTTAAAAACATTCGCGTTTGGACAAAATATTTTAGGTTTATGCTACTGAATTGAGGTTTCTTCTCAACAGTGACTTCTGTATTTTTCAGTAGTCTTCAAGGCACTGTAAGTAGACAATTTGTTTAAATGCTGGTATGTATTAATCATACAGTATATCTTAATCATAGCTTTTATTTTGCTATAGATTTATACCTTTCTTTCAGATATGCTTTTTTACTTTTCTGAAATACATAGAGAGATGCTGTTTAAACCAGTTAGGAAGAGTAGTAAGTATTTACTGTCTCTCCCTTGTTGTATGTTCCAAAGTCTTTTTCCAATGGCACCTCTTTCTCACTATTATGTAAATAATGTGTTTGAAGAGATAAGCGGACCAACTTGTGAACTGCTACAACACTCTGGTAGTATGCACCTCTGGTAATGCTCAGATAAGCTAAACTTCATAATGTTTTAAAATACAAGCCGATCAAGATACATCAGTAGTGACAAGTTCCCATCCTTAAACTTACAGTATGAATGAGAGACTAAATATGCAGTGTAGGTACTGAGTTAATAACATGCATTCAGGTCACAAGCTACTTCATCTTCTCTGACCTATGCATGCAGGTTTCGTCTCTTAATCATTGGCACAAGTTTTGTCTAAGACTTAAAATACCTGTCTTGGTCTTCCCCAGATGTCATTAAAGAAAAAGGATTAGAGCATGTTACTGTTGATGATTTGGTGGCAGAAATCACTCCCAAAGGCAGAGGTAAGAAAATGCAAACATGGATGTGGCAGTACATCAGTAAACATACCTACCTGTATTTCATTAATATTTTGAAAGCAGCACTATGAACTTGCTTGTGTTGGATTCAAGGAAAAATGTTAATAGCTTCAAGGAAAAATGTTAATAGCTTGATATCAACTACAAATTAAATGTGGATTTGTATTGTGTAACAGCCATTCAAAACCTGTAATGAGCTGTGTGTGTAGACTGCTTTTGCAGGTTATATCATTTAGTCATGGGTCTGTATTCATCTTTATAATTGACTTCATGGTCCCAAGGAAACTTGGTGTGTAAGGCAGGGATGTTTTAAAATTCCAATTCTTTTTAAGATGGAAAATCTGAACTAAAAGTACTAGTGTAAGGGGAAGTGGGAAAAGGAAAGAACATAGCGTACAGATAGAGAAAAATGGAATCTCTTAAGGAAATACTGCAGTCGTCTTCATATAGTTTTTCTTGGATTCTCTAATAGGCTTTAGTGTTAGTGGGAGAAAACTTAATTAAGTCTTAAATAAAAACAGGCCTTCAAAATAACTTGCTGAAGACCCTTACTCTGAGGTCACAGCTGAGAGATTTTTTTTGTCTTAAATTTGTGAAGAAAAAAAGTAGGATAATCAAAATAGTTTCTGATGATTATATCCTCTTTACTGTTGAATAATCTTTTCCCTCAAACTCCAATTTTCTTGACTATGGCTAGGCAAAAAACCACCACCACCAACAGCATTCTCAATGGACCTCAATTTTATCTTATTTTAAATGGGAGAAATATAGATATGCTCTATGGAAATCAAGTAGCTTCAGTTACTTTAGGTATTAACAGAATTGCAAGAACAAAGAAAGAATAGAAGTAGCTGTTGTAAAAGGCTGGTATTAGCATATTTTCCATTTTGTCTCTCTTACTTCCTGCTTTCTTATTTGTGTTTCAGCCTTGGTACCAGACAGTGTAAAGAAAGAACTCCTGCAAAGAATAAGAACCTTCCTTGCCCAGCATGCCAGTCTTTAACTTTGACGTTTATCTGGGATACAGTGTTTCTGTATTATGTCAATCATGTCAGGATTGGAATGCAGTTTCCATACTTAAGGATGGAAATTTTTTTTTTTTTTGTATGATGAGTTGAAGTTTCTTTGCACTGCATCGATTTCTTAAACTTGGTGTTATTTTAATAAAAAATTTTGTGGACTTGCGGTTCTAAGGCTCTTCTCTCTGTCAGCGCACTGTAATATGGTGTCACCTATTCCAGTTTTTAATGCATAATTTTATACGGTTGTGCAAACTTGCTCAGTATTTCAAAAAAGAAGCATGATTAACAAGTATTTTAACTAGAAATGCAGAAAGGGGGAAAAAAGTCTGTGGGAAATGGGATATGACATGCTACTGAGCATATCCTTTCGAATTTTTCCTAAATAGCTGAACAGCATGGAGTTAAGGCTACATGATGCTGTGGGTGGCATTCCTCTTGGTGCCTCTTTACTAGAGAGTGAGTGGTTTTGAAGTCTCTGACTTGTGTTGCGAATACTCAGTAGTTCATGGGAGGATGAATTCTTCAAAGGCAGTTGTATCTTTTATCAATAATTCTCTCTTCCTGTTGACTTTAATTAAAAGGAGTCACTATTCTGATCTGCAACTACTACTATTTTCTAGCTTTGCCTATATTACTGGTAATTTTTAATTATGTGGATCTTTGGGGCCTTTTGAAATTTAAGTGTGATACAATAATTTGCAAACGTCTTTTAAGATGACCTATTTTAAATTCTCATATCTGTAACTGCAACATCAGCCAGGTCTATAAATAGCTGTGAAAATACAGTTGATGAATAGAGAGGATCAGGAAAGAGAACATTTAATTGCCAGCTTTGATTGGAGGTGTCTAGTAGATGGTGACGTGGAGGAGAAGCATAAGCAGGAACTGAATGAGCAATTAGATACTGTTGTGACTTGGCTACTGTGAAAAATGACTTGACTCAACATAAGTCTTAATCCTCCTAATTAGAAGAATACTCTAAAACCTGTCACTTAGCGTGGAGCTATTCT